TTTTTATTTATAATAATAGATGGATGATATGGTATTTGATAATTTTCTAGATTTTCATTAGTTATACATTCTATTATTATTGATAAAAGATAAAGACGATCCCAAAAACTAGTAAATTGTCGATAAATATTCATATGATTTTGTTGATTATTTTCAATTAAAATATTAATTAATTCATCAAAAAGAAATTGTTTCATTGATAATGATAAATAACATGTTGATTGATTTAAAAATTTTAATAGAAAAATAATTTGTTGATATGATGATTGAATCGATGTTTTTAATATTGAAATAATCCATTGTTGAATATCAATCATTAATGTACTATTATTAATATGATTCTTTTTAAAATATTGATCAATTATTTGAATAATTATAGTTAATAATTGTAAACAATTTATTTCATCTAAATTAATATAATGATTATCAATATTATCTTGTATAATTAATGTATCATTTAATAATTGTTGAATAAGTTTAATAGGTTCTAATATTTTTTCATTGAGTAAAATAAAATAAATTAAATTCATAAATTCAATTTTAACTTTCATATGAACATATTCCATTCGTTGTAAAACTTGTTTAGATGGATAATATTTTGAAATTAATGTATAACTATGTATCCATTGTATAGGATCTTTATTTGTTTGACATAAATCATAAAGTTTATTTCATAAATGATAAAACATTAATCGAAATAAATTTTCTCGAACTTTTGAACGAGTAATATCTTCATTTTCGAAAAGATCATTGTAAAATGATTGATTTTGATTAAGATTTTCTATTATTCGACAAGCAGAATAGAATGAAAGAATATCATTTTGTTCATATTCAAATAATGTATAAATATGAGCAAGTTGCCAAATATTACGATTTAATGAAGAATTGTATGAAGCTTTTTCATCATCATCATCATTATCAATTAATATTAACCAACGTGATACAAAATCAATTGTTTTTTCACATTGTATTTGATTATCATGAAAATTCTTTTCAATAATTGTACAAAGAATTCGAATAGAATCATTAATATATGATTGAAGAATTGATGATGAAATAACTCTAGTTAAGATTTTATCATTCATAAGCGATCGAATCAATTGATTACGATATTGTTCTTGTATATTAGCTGTTCTATCTTGATCATTATAGAAATTATTATATATTATTGGTGATGTTGATATTGAACCATCATAATAATCGAAATGAAGATCATCTACTTGTTCTAAATATTTATTTAAAAAAAAAATTAAAAGAAGTATTCAACCAGTAAAGAAAGATCTTTAAAATATAGTTCTATATAAATAATCTATGATTTTAGTAGATATCACAGAATACACCAAATTAAAGAATCTAGTCGATTTATATTGAAATTCTTGAATTTATCATAAAGAACATTCTCAACAAAAAGAATCTGGTGAATATGCCTATCTGTATTTTCATCATAACTGCCGTAGACGATTGCTTACAGCTTAGTACAATACATAAACGAACTGTATTTTCTTGTATTTTTGCAGATAATAATACAATACGATCGTATTACTCATTATAGAAGTACTATGCAGCATCTATTTTACTTTTAAAATTTAATTGTTGAAAACTACTTGATAAATAAGAAAAATACGAACGCTTGGAGAACACATTCTTCTATGCATTAAATATTTCTTCAGATCCATAGCAGGACAACATCGAGTTCAAGTTCAACAGAGGGAGAAACAATAGCGACTTCAATCTTCAAGTCTTTTGAAAATTTGAAGCCTCTATACTCGAAATCTGCTGTTTTTCCTTAGAATTCGACTAGACAATCTCTTATCAGAAGTATTCATAATAGATAAGATTTAAAAGAGTTCAACAATATATTTCTGTAGTTTTTCTTGCGTTTTTTTTCTCATCGGAAATGTCGAAAGAAAAATATCTGATAGATTATTTCGTTCAAAAAAAACGAGACTTTTTTTAGTGTTATAGTTTGATTTATGAGAAAACATTTTCAACTGATCAATCACTTTCTCATAAAATGCTACTAGGTTATGTGTTATAATCCATAATTCATTAGCTTTCAGTATAAGAAAGTAACTGATCCGTTGAAAATGCTTCGTCATTAGATTCGAAGATTTTAGAAAAATTTTCAATATAAATAATAAAATGAAATATCAAACCATTAAATTGATTTTGTTGATAAATCAATTTAAATTTGATATCATCTGCAATATTTTTGATTCGTTGTCGACATAAATAAAATAATGGTGTTTGAAGTATACAAGAATAATGATCATTTAAAATTATTATTTCTTGTATTATTGAATCAATTTGATTTTCATAATTAATAGGAAATGATGAATAATCAATTAAATCAAGTAATTTATTATAATCATTATTTTTATTTGATAATTTAGTTAAAGATTCTAATCCATAATCATCAACAATATATTTTAAAATAAATGAAATAAAATTTATAAATGATATTCGTATATGTAATTGTAAAGAATCAACTAAACTAATAAAATATTTTCCACATAAAATATCTTTTGAAATATCATAAATTCTATTACAATTTTTTCTTAAAAATTCTTCTTTCATTAAAATATTTTCATGATAAATTGTTATAATATGTTTTTGTAATTGATTAATTTGTTGAAAAATATTTTTCAAACATTGTACACGTCGATAAGTAGTTGTTTGACGTTGATAAAATTCATAAGCATCAAAACTATTAAATAAATTTCGTGATAATTTATGTATATTTATTTGTAAACGAGAACAAAAATTCCATAGACAATCATCAAAAAGTTTATTTAAATCATAAAGATAATTATTTGATGTTTCTTGTTGATGAAATTTTCCAATTTTTGAAGTAAAAATTTGTAAAATTTTTTGTAAATGAAATGCACTACCTGGTGTTGATGTATCAACAAACCAATAATCCCAATCATGTAAAAATATTGAAGGAAAACATGATTTATAATTAAGTTCTTGTCCAGATGAATATATTAGAATAATAAAAAATTTTGATAAATTTTTCAATGATTTATTACAAGAAATATCAGTTTTATCAATTAATTGTCGAATAAATGGTATATGTATACGTTGTTGATTAATACGACCATCAATAACAATGATAAGAATAGATTTTTCATTTGATTGTTCAAAAGTTTGAAAATGTTCAAGTAATTCATTTGAATTTTCAATAATTGCCTGAAGAAAAAAAAATAATTGACATTTCTGTTAGAATGATAAAGGAAGATTAAAGGAAAAAAAACTCACATTTCTTGTACTACTACTGAGGAAAGACTCACAAAAGAACCTCTCGAGATACTAAAAAGTTTTTCAATTCAAATTTTGTTCATAGATATGGAATGTATAGACTAGAAAAAAAACCCTAAGAAGATATGGGCGCAAGTTGCGAATTGACTAAGATATCAACTTTTTACTACAGTCTTTCTATAAGATTTGACTTTTTCAATAAAATCAAAGTTTTGAGTTTTGACCTGAAACATTACAAACGTCGAGGTCTCAATCAGACTAGTTTGCCTACAAAGTTTCAGAATTTCTGGATAAATTATCTTCGAGATAACAGTATGTTATCTTATAAACGTTTTTTTTATAGATATTGTATTATGTACGAATATTTTTGAAAATCCATATTTCGGAGATAGTTTATCTAGAAGTTCTGAAATTTTGTAGGCAAGCTAATTTGATTGAGACCTTGATGTATGTAAAGTTTCAGGTCAAAATTTGAAACTTTGATTTTATCGGAAATGGGTTTTTCCTAGTCTATACATCTTCTACCTATGAGCAAAGTTTGAGCTCAAAAGCTTTTTAGCACTTGGAGTGGTTCTCTCGTCAGAGATATTGAAATAGTCTTCAATAAGGTTCATTAGAAAATTAGTAAAAGCAGTACATTAACGTTTTGTACAACACGATTTAAAGAGTGTTGAAGTATCGGAATAAAATTTTGGACCTAATACGACTCTCCATGTCACAGATCCTCACAGGCATAGACATAGATTAGTGTCTAATGTCGAGTCCGCGAAGGAATTTTCGTTAAAGCCTCTATTAATCGCTAAGTATATGTTGAGTTCGAATTCTATGTTGAAACAATGATATTTCAGATATTACAATCATCCAATGAAGAAACTCAGTTCGAACTCAAATACTTATAGATAAATTTCCATAGAAACTTATTAAAACCTTCACGAATTCTATTTTAATTTTTCCACCAATGATTATATTACCTGAAATATGATTTCTCCGATCTGACATTGAACACTAACATATACAATCAAAGACTATTTCCTTATTATATTTCTGGATGATTAACTAAAAGGACGATGAAGAAATGCAGGTACATTGTTTGTTACATTTTAATTTCACTTAGTTCATTGCACTATTATCTTACCCATCCTTATTCTATCATTAAAATAATTACAATATGCATATAGAATATCTCAGTTTGATTCATCGCAAGATTTTCTGATATGAATGTTACTGTTCGAAAGACTTACTAGATTTAGAATATCGATTTTTTCACTAATGTTCATCATCATATCATTTTCATCATTTTGATAAAATAAATCATTTTTTGATTGTTGATTTAGACTAATAACAAATGATGATGTTCGAGTAAATATCATTAATTTTCTTGTAATAATAATATTATTATTATTATTATTATTGATTTTTTGATCAATAATATTATTTATAGTTAATAATTCATTATTATCAATAGTTAATAATGGATTAGAAATAAATCGATAAAGAAAATTTTCAATATTAAAATGTTCTTGTTGATAAAAATAATTTTCACATAATAATTGAGCAGTAGTTTCATAAAATGTTGGTAATTTATAAATCATTGATTCAGGTGAAACTAATTGTAAAAATTTTGAAAGAATAATAAAAAGAAGAGATTGTTGTTTATTATTTAAATTTTTTTCAATAAATATTTTTGATTGTATTGTTAATTGATTATAATTTTCATGAATATTTGATAAATAATAATTATTTTGTTGATTATTTTTTAATAAATAATAAAAGATATGAATATAATGTTTCATTATTAAATCCATAGAAATATTCTTTTCCAAAATGATCAATAAATGATTGAATTTTTATTTCAATATTTTTCATAAAATTTTGTTCTTCAATAGAAATTTCTTTTAATTGAATTGTATAAAAATCTTCTATACTTAAAGAATATTTTTGAAAACGACTTAAAAATGGTGCTGGAATATCTTTAAATTCACTTCGTTTAATATGAATAATACATTGAAAATTTTCATGTACAATAACATCGATTGTTTTTGGACCAATAGATACTTTAGAAAATATTTTTCTACTTTCTTCAGTAGCCATTATAGAAAAATTTTGATTAAAAACATCATATAATGAATCATGAATACGACCTGTATTAATCATTAAAATAGTTTTACCTGTTTCCATACATAATTTAATATTTGATAAAATTTCAACATTTCGTAATTCATTATTGATATCATCAGGAAAATCAGACATACGAAAAACAGTCGTTCGATTTGGATCAGAATTAAGAATACCAAATTGAAATAGAAGATGAACAGCACTTTCATCTTCAGATTCATCAATTATTAATTTATATCTACCATAAAGACGACGATGTATTGGATCTAATTTCATTGAATTACATAGAATTGTTGGAATATTACGTTGAATATGTTGTTTTTCGGTGATTAATGTTCGAAAATCAGAACATTGTTCTCCAACAGCTGTAGCAAATATATCAACTAATTTATCAAATTCTTCCATTCGAATTCCATTAAAATTATCTTCTAATGCTCGTAATAAACTTCGTGGTGTTATTTCTCCAATAGTTGTTTTTTTCGTTTTGATTTAAATTTATTAATTCAAATCGTAATTCTCTTAACATATAGATAAAATCACGATCATGAAATATATGAGGAATATCTAATGAATAAAGTATTCGTCGATAACCATGACATAAACCATAAATTATCTTATCAAGACGATCATCAATAGTTGATTGTCGTTTTTCTAATTGTAAACCCAAACAACCATAGGCTAAAATTTTTTGATCATCTTCAGATGGTAATGAACGATAAATACAAATCATTCGATTAGCATTAGCTGCATCAAATGCTGTATTAGCAATTGCCACAAATGCTACTTTACATTCGTCTAAATAAGGATGTAATACTTTTAAGACCATTTTCTTTTCATTAGGTAATGAGGCTTCATCTAAGAAAACAACCTAAAATAATATTTCGAATAGAACAAAGAAAAATAGAATACGATAAATCATTTTCAATTTACACATCGTGTATTCATACGATTTTGTTCATATTGTTGCTCACGTTTGATAGCACGTTCAAAAATAGAAGCAATATCTTCGGAACG